GTGTTGGTCTTTCTAGAAGTCACTTTCTAGACGGTGGTTGATTTTAAATGCTGCTGCTCAGCTTTTAACCGGTACTAGGAAGCGAGAGCATATTGCTCCTGTTTTAGCTTTTCTTCACTGGCTTCCAGTACATTTTAGGATAGATTTCAAAAATATTTTGTTTGTCCTCAAATGTCTGCATGGCCTTGCCCCACTGTATCTCTCTGACCTGCTTCAGCCGAATGTTCCCTCGCTCTCTGTTAGGTCAGCAGATCAGGTTAGTTGTCCCGAAAACAAAGAGGAAGATGAAAGCTCATTCTCAGTTGCTGCCMCAAAACTGTGTTATAGTTTACCATTACATATCAGACAAATTGAGTCTCTTCTTGTTTTTAAGTCTTCTCCTAAAACACTTTCTCACTGGCTTTTGACTCAGCTTGAAGTGTTGGTTTTATAAAGTTACTGTTATTGGTTGTGTATTGTCTGTTTTTATTTCTGGTTATTTTGTACAGCACTTTGGTCAACTTTGTTGTTTTTAAAGTGCTTTATAAATAAAACTGGAATGGAATGGAATAGAACAGAGTAATTGTATTTTTACATACTGTATCTATGTATATTGGTGATTCTATTTGTASGGTATTAACCTTGATTCAGCCTTCTAAGCAAAACTCTTGCAAAAAACATATTTTGAAACAAGGATGAGGACTATGATTAAAAGAATAAAAAAGTGCATCACTTGCATTTTAAAACCTTTTTGCAAGATTTATAAAGAATACTATTTTTGCCATCATTGCTTATTGTTCAAAATGTTTCTGAATAGCCCTCAGCTGAATGTTTTCTTAGTGTCTCAAATATTGAGATTAATAGTGACATTTTACAGTCTTCAGATGCCCAGAAAGTGTTTTTCAAACATCCACTGCTGACAAAACAGTGAAGAAAGACTTGTGTTTGGGGGGCACACAGGGCATGGTGGTGGGTTGATTTCTATGTCTGTGGTTTTAGTAGCTTTTAACGGCTCCCTTTTTAATGGAAGGCAGTTAGAGCCTCGGTGGGGAGCAGAGACGAGACAGTGGTGACTCCTGTGCAGCCTTCTTTCAGTATGTTATTTATGTGCCCTTTTCCTCTGCAAGCCTGAGGGAGGCAGCTTTGTTACTCTGAGCCAAGTGAAGAAGAGCCAAGTGTGGTCCATAATCTAGTTCAGTGTCCCTCTCCCTCTAAACTGAAAAGCTTTTGGGATATGGAACCAAGTGCAGTCAGCTGGTGTGGGCGTCACGGCATCGATGCAACTGAAGGATTTGCCCACATTGCTATGGAGACAGTAGCATGCAGCAGTTTGAAGAAGGAGAGATAAATCCCATCCCCCCCTACACTCACCCGTTCTTTTTTTTTTAAGCTATTTTAAAACCTACTGCTAAAGTGTTCACCCTCTGGAGTTCTCATGCCTTTTTTCCCTCACAAATCCAAGCACATGAAAAACAGTGACACACGTGCACAAACATGCACTTAAATGTGTACACTCATCACTAAATTAGTGCGGGAGCAYTTAACCTACATTCTAATAGGGAAGACAAAATCAATAAGCTGAATAAACAAAAATACAGTTTTAGACAAGGAAAAAATAAAAGATTTATGATTCTAAATAAATGGATGGATTTAAGTAAAAAAGGCTCTATTGAAGTTACAAGATAATTGAATAAGTGAATGTTTCGAAAGAGTTTTGAATCAGGAAATAACTTTCAGCGTCAGTTCTGCGGTCAGTAAATGTGGTCAAGACAAGCTGCTTAGAGGGGCTGCGTCTCAATTCAGAGGCTACAGCCCACGTAGGGCGAATTTGTCTGCTCACGTCACTGTGTCGTGCCGCAGGCTGTCCCAATTTATAAGCACCTACTCATGCAGCCAACAAAACCCTAAAAACGTGGGCTGCACCTGAGTATCCCGGATGGCTGAGGATACCCCAGGAATCATTTCATCATTAGAAAACTAAACAGGAAAAAATAGACAACTGAGTTTTGTGGGTTTTAGCCAGCCCCTTAACTGAGACACAGCCAGTGTGTGCAAGTGCACTTTCTGAGAGCTGGGCTTTGTTTTACACTTTATTTTTTACTCATCACTTTTACTGAAAGTGTAAAATGTCCTACCGCTGTCACTGTTGTCATCTACAAGGATGATTTCTTTGAGCAGGTGTGCCGGTGTGTGGTTGACCACACTRTGAACGGAGCGCAGGATCACCGACAGAGCCTCGTTCACAAAGATGAAGACCACCGAAATCTGAGGAAGGTCGTCCGGGTATGTCAGCTGCTTACACCTGAGGAGACAGACAGAGAGAGAGAAATTATCCAGTGCCAAAATGACTACACAAACTTTGTTTTGTGGCTTTCATCTAGTCACAGCAAGAAAGTCCCAGGTAAAATTTAAAATGTTATTGATAGATGAGTTCCCTTTTGTTCCCCAGTAAACCATGAAAGTGAAGCAGCATGCAAAACAGCAGGTCTTTGACTGGAACACAGCAAGTAATTGTGATGATGAACCACAGAAACGTCTGTACAACAGCAGAGTTTGTTCACAAAGGGTGTAAAAAGAGGTACATGTYAGGTACAACTAATGATTTCAGTAAAGGCTCTGCTGCTGATGAGCATGTGCAAAGCACCACCTCCAAAATAAAACACTGAGACAGGAAACACARTTAATGGGATTAGCTGCATCTGTTTAATTAGTCCAAGTGTTAACACAGACAAATTTATGACAGGCTCGTTGAGAAGTAAATCAGCTTTTTTTCTGCTGGCTGAAGTTTAGAGTGTCTTTTTTTCCAAATTATCCGAATGTTAACTGACACAGAAATGGTGTGAACAACTTTATTACTCACAAAAATATGTAGTAAATTTGGAATCCTGATTTATTTATTTATTTATTTATTTATTTATTTATTTATTTATTTATTTATATTTACTTGTTT